CAGGGGAAATAAAACCCTGAGTACTCAATTATACTCAGCAAGACTTGCCCGACAGAAGAAAAGAAAAGACTCCAAAGCTATCTGGCTTGTGGGTTTATTGCATTTGCAGGGAGCATTACTAAGCGTGCGTCCTTATATTTGATTTTTATTAATAGCCGCATTGGTTCATTAACTAACCATTCTATGTAAGCACCTGTGCTACTTTCAAGCAGGTGATAAGCAATCAGATTTTCTTTTTCCATCTTCCATCATTCATCTTTCAGTTCTTACTACGATGCTAAACCATAGACAAGCCGTACCGGAACGTCGACGATTCGTAAATCAATGCCCCCAGCTGGGTACCCTGAAAACACACGCCCCACTTGTACCCAAGGCACAAGCAGGACCAACCCATCACCCTCCTGTCCTGGGGTCCTAGGTCCCCGTCCAAACTGGAACTCTAATCCCCCGCCCCTGAGTCCCGGGCTCAGTGTGGTGCAAGGATCTCCTCCACCAAAATAAAACCCTGACAGTTGGTCCAAAAATAACCAAAACCCACGACAAAAGAGCAACAAGTCTTTCAAGCGCCCATACCCAAGTATGTGCTCAGGATAATAAGTCTATGACTTGCCTAGAGTCTTATGCAATAGCCGGTCCTTAACCGACATGGACAGGAAAAACAGTGTAACCAAGCCATGCCCCGCGTCCACGGCGACGCAACCTCTTACACCCACCAATACCCAAACTATATTCCTGTCCGGTCACCATTTTCCTTTCCACCATTTATATTTTTCAAGTGATAATAATGTAGTAATATATTTTATATCTCTCACGAGTAACAGGAAATCACTCGACTTCTACCGGAGTCCTATAGCATATTATTCTACACGATCTTGTTATACTAGTAAGACTCATAGGATAAAGATGTATATGCAAGTGGGTTTCATACAACTCCTTAAAACTTAATGCACAAATATAATTTAAACTATAAAAAAGTAGAGGTTATGCATCAGGGCTTGCCTGGGTAAGATATATTAAAAAGTTAGTATCTGCATCTTCAGATCATCCACCATCAACTGGATACAAAGCCCATTGCATCATCTTCTGAAGAGAATATCATTACACCATCTTTGGATTCCCAATCATCCTTCAATTGATCTTTTAATCCATTATCGTACCTATATGATATGCTTTGATACAAATGCATAAATGTAAATAATCAACGACAACCGAAATGCTTAGAAACCCGATCATGCTTCACAAGCTAACAAGCTAGTTCTAACGACGACTGTACTTAGGCTACATATACACGTGGTCGGATAAGGCGTTATTTTCCAACAATTATTTTAGTTATATAAACCCAAGGTATTTCTTTATTCTATCCTATTGATATAATCTTAATTTGGAATAGGGCATCATTATCTATTGAGCAAACTAATTATTCTGGAGCTACAAAAAATACAGTGAGTACCTAATATTGCTAGGAGCTTACTGTACAAATTTTAGATTCAACACTATTACCAATTTATCACAACGATTCCAAGTTTATATTTTTACAATATTAAGTACCTTAAATTAATTATATAGCTTCCAAAAATATTATCACACTATGTGAACAAAATATACTAACAGGTAGATCATGATTTTAGGAGACTAACAAAATTAGTTTCATAATTTTTGGACACCTACATAATTTTCTTTAGAATTTACAATTTTACCTTATAAGCTCAATTAGAAATTGCTCTATAAAGCAACAAGGGCGATGTCAGCTACTTTGGCCCAACGCCAACGCGGTCCAGTGGAGACCGGCGGCCCAGCGGGTGCGCAGCCCAGCGCGGCGCGGCGGTGGCCCAGCAACGCGGCGTGGCACAGCAGCGCGGCGCGGGACCGGCCCAAGCAGTGCTGGCGGCCCAGACGGCAGGCCAACGGCCCACGCGTGATGCGCATTTTGCAGAAAGAACCTTGCGCTTTTCTCTATCCGACTCGAGATCCACAAGCACTATTCATTCTAGTCACGTATTTCGCGCTGAGAACTCCGTATAAAAATTTACTTGGACGTCTCACCTCGGCTCCTCCCACAAAACAGAGCACCGGCAAAGAGGCCATCTGCCGGCCACGGAAACGGCTCGTCAGCGACGGGCAGCGGTCGGTGGCGCGGTGGCTAGGGAGGGTAGACCCATAGGCACCGGCAGACACAGCGCACCCTCGGCTAGACCCCGCACGTGCCGGGGCAGGGCGCAGCGGCCCGACCGTAGGCACAGCACGGCGCCGGCTCGAGCAGGGGCCACGGCGGCTCCCGGCGATGCGGATACGACGAGGATGGGGACGCAGTGCGGGGCTTGGGAGGGCAGCGCCAAGGCGGCGGTCTAGCGCGATCGTAGAGGCAGCACGACAAGGTTAATAGTTCAACGGAACGACGGAGGCAGTGGTTACTCGATGGTGCACGGTAGAGAGAGGACACGGTGTGGCAGGGACAAAACCACGTGCGACAGCGTGAAAAATGACAGCAACCGACGATACAAATAGGGAGTGATGGATGAGGAGACTTTGCACTGCCGCGCCACGACGGGAGACAAGACGGTGAATAATTGCCATGCAACGAGTACGCTGTACGTTGGAAAAATAACGAAGCTGTTGCGCTCTCTTCCTCGTCAGTTCGTGCTTATCAAAATAAACCCGTGAGTATATATGAGTATATATATATATATCGTTCTATTTATTAATGGATTTTATTCTATTTATAAATGTTGCTTTTCATGCTTAATCTAACCGAACAAACTGTTCGCTAGAATCGTCGTCGGACATTGCTAAATATTTCTACGCACTGCGTAATTTATCTTGAGCGTTTATTTAAGTCCACGAAACTAAATCACACAGGATTCGCTTATCGCCTTAAGTACGTTTTAAATTAAAAATCCGAGAAAACTCGATTCAAAATTTTTTCTTAGACCTAAATCGTGGTGCTAAACAAGTTCGTAACACCATGGGTTTTACACCTTATACTAACCCACAGGAGCAAAATATTTAAGCACCATTTAATTATTTTGCTCAATATAATTCGCTAAAAATAGTATTTTAACAACAGTTCAAGTGTTTGCCGACTTAACGAAAAGCGCTTATCTTAACGTCAAATTTGATTTTTTTGAGCTCCCAAAACACTAGTTAACAACATCTATTTTTCAAAAGTTAAAGTCATATTTCCATCTGCTAAACTTGTACTCCAATTTTTATTTATGTACTAAATACAAGTTATGTTTGATCCTTGTTTTTAGAAAAAAAAAAATTTTGCCTCACGTGCGTTAGAAATTTTTAAAACCCAGAAACTTATTAGGCTAATCCTTCTCGGACCTAAATCTCGATGCTAAGCTCGTAACACTGGGGTGTTACAGCCAGGGCCTAACGGGGGCCTGGAGTGGGCGAGAGGCGAGCTGTGCCGGTAGAGAGGTCCTACTGAAATCCGTGGCTCTGGCAGTTCCTACCTATCCAATGAGCTGCTTCCTAATCCCGAAAGACACCTGTCGGAAAATGAAAACGGTGATCTCAAACTACTGGTGGGGCAGCTCGGCTGATAGCAGACATATGCATTGGCAGCGTTGGGAGCGTCTAACGAGACCCATGGTGGAGGGAGGTATGGGTTTCCAAGATCTCAGGTTGTTTAACCTTGCTATGCTGGGGAAGCAGGGATGGAGATTAATTGAGAATCCAGACTCTCTGTGCGAAGGTTCTGAAAGGACGTTACTTCCATGATGCGGATTTCTTAACAGCGACCCAGAAGAAACACGCTAGCCACACTTAGCGTGCAATTCTGGAGGGGAGGGAGGTCTTGAAGAAATGTTTGCTGCGGAGAATTGGAGATGGCAGCACAACAGACATTTGGCGGGACCGATGGCTACCAAACCACTTTGGCGGACGACCGATCGCCGTGCCGAATAATCCACAGGTCCACATGGTTTCCGATCTGATAACGCCGAGTAAGGTTTGGAATGAGAGTCTGATGAGACAAATCTTTGTCGATGCCAAACTGATGTAGTCGAACATGTGCCAATTCTCCTAATCAGTCCGAGCTGAAGCACTTCCCTGCCATCCAAAATTGATCGCCAGATTTCTGAGGGGGTGGAGCCAAGATTAGCCTCTATGAGATCACCTTGTGGAAAATAAACCGCCTTTAAAATCTGGGCGCTCAGAGATGCTGATTCCTGGAGGATCCGCCAGACCTGCTTCACAAGCAAAGCAAGATTGAATAGCTCTATATCTCATAAGCCTATTCCCTCAAGAAACTGGCATAATCATATCATCCCATACCACCCTATTCCCTCCTTACTTCCCTTCCCCGCCAGAATTGCCTCCGAAGGCCACAACTGAAAAAAAAAATGGAGCACAACAATCCTAAACAGGCCGTTTGGCACTTTGGCAGGCTTCTGCAGGAGCCCGTTCCAATGTGCCCTGCCAAACTGGGCCTGGCAGGTGGGCCAGACATTCTTCAGTCCTAGAGTACAGACAGCACCGGGCTCCGTTCATCGCCTTGCCTTCTCTTCTCCGGTTCCCCGCGTGCGCGCGCGTGCTCGCTCTCGTGGAGCAACTCGGCGACCGCCGCCGCCGCCGCCGCCGCTCTACGCCAGGTGCCCAGGTCTAGCCTTGTCGGTCCTTTGCCGGCGACGACCACCCACCCGGTATGCGCACTCCTTCTCTCCCCTCTCTGCCGTGCGAACTGAGCACCCGAACCCTAACTTAATCTATTTGGGTATTTGTATTGGGGTCTGATCTAATTACAAGTTTATATATGTATTACGTCTACTAACTTATAATTTTTCTGCGAAAGTCATTGGGTGTACATGTGTACGCCAATGTTCTTTACTTGGTCCGCCCGCGACGATATCTGCATTTGATTTTAGGGCAAAAAAACTGTATTTTTAACCTAATTATTTGCTGATGTTGCTAGTTGACTGCCTTGTGTTGCAGATTGTGAGATCATACGCCAGAAGTTCAGCTAGGAGTGCATCTTGTTTACCTATTGCTTAATCATGGACAACACTCAGAATCAACCGCTACCACCTGGTGTTGGAACATGGCCGCAGGCACCTCCCAGTCACCAGCCACAATGCCATGCTGATCTGCAGTCTTATCATCCACTTGATGCTAGACCTGACAATGCTAGTGCCAATAGTAGTGGTAGTGCAGCAAACATTGAGTCAGCTGTCCAAGAGGCTGTTCTTCACGCGCAGGTATTCATATATCCCCCAGATTATGTTCTTAGAGTTGCAGTTATGCTTCTGTTTAATTGATCTCTGGTAGTTGTTTATGATAACTAGGACATTGAGACCCAGCAAGTAATACAGAATCAAAGGTGTGTTTTGTCCCATTTCATTCTGTAATAGTTATTAGCAGCTGCTTGATGTTGCTGTTGCATATTTTTTCAATCAGATATGCAAACACAACAAGTGAATCTACAACATATGGGGAAGACTTACTTTCGAACCGCCGTGACCCTAGTGCATTGAAGGTGATTGATCTTGATCGCAAGTCTTTTTTCTTCTTTATGTGTTTTTCTGTATGTATTTCATTAGTTTAATCATTTTTTGTCTTGGTTTTTTAGGAGCACTTATTAAAGATGACAGCTGATCATCGTGCAGAGATGGCAAGCAAACGGGGGAAGCCACTTCATCCAAACAATGGTCATTGTCTTTCCATGATAATGCTGTATTTACCTATTTTTAATTAGTTCCTCCATTTTCAGTTGTCCACTTGTAGAGTGTATAAGCAACTATGATGATCTTCATTTTGCATCTGTACTGAGCATTAGTCATGGAGATTGGTAATTCGGTCTCACGACTTATGTATATTTCTGCTAACTGTAGTCATTTTAGTTATCATTTAATTTAATATATTTTTTCTGTTACACAGTCTGTAGCTATGAAGTTGCTGTTTACTTGCTAGTTTTCTTCAAGTACATAACGGGGTATCTCTTTCCCGAACCTGATGATTGAACATGCTTACAGGCAACTGTGAAATTGGCAATGGCTATGGTGTACCAGGAGGCGGTGCTTACTATACTGCAAACTTGCCAAGTGCTCAAATGAGTATGTCACATCTCTAAATTACTTGCTGCTTCCAGTATTATACATAAGGGCTAACTATTTGCGTTTTTCTTCAGATAAACCTAGAGATGAAACTGATAAAGCAAAATGTGCAAACGATCTCCCTGATTTTTTGAAGCAGAGGTTAAGGGCAAGGGGAATTCTCAAAGATGAGACAGCAAATAAGAACAACATGGGTACACAGACTGTAAGTTGCTAATTTCTTTGGAAACTAAAGTGGGAAGGTGGAAACTAAGTACTGGTGGTTGGGATAACGTTGATCTAGTGCCAGCACAATCTTATTATTCAGCAGTAGGCAAGTATCATTACCCTGCAGTTGTGTCTGAGTGCCTGAGTCAGGTCTTTGGTCTTAGTCCGCAGGTGTAGTTTTCTTTGTTTGTTCTCTGGCTCTGTTCTTTACAAACTTCTGCATTTATCCTTGGTTCGAAAAGGAAAAAATGCCACATGGGCATGGAAAAATATATTATCTAGCATATGAACTAATGAAAACTGTATGGTTGATTAAAAGTGGACTTACCTACATAAATCCAAAAGAACAGTGGGAAATTTGATGATACTGAAAAACGTTAGAGTCTTACCGCCTGGTGCAAGCGGTAGAGTCTTACCACCTGTGACCGGAAGGTCCCGGGTTCGAGTCGCGGTCTCCTCGCATTGCACAGGCGAGGGTAAGGCTTGCCACTAACACCCTTCCCCAGACCCCGCACAGAGCGGGAGCTCTCTGCACTGGGTACGCCCTTTACTGAAAAACGTTAGAAAAGATGCCTTTTGTCTTTATCATTAGCTTGCACATATGACAAATTTGATGTGCAATTGATATTTTTATCTAGCACATTTTTTGTGTTAATTGATATGTCATTCGTTTTGTGCCACTGAATTACAGGTGGATTCTCAAGAAAGCCAGAACAAATCTGCGCAAGAGTTTCCTCCTGGTTGGGTGAGTTTGTGCCCAAGTACTTTCTTTTTTGGTTATTTTTGTGCTTTGTCATGTGGTTATCAGTTGAAATGTTTAGCCAATAGCCATTATATGTTTTCTTGGCCAGTTCACAGTGCACCAGTACAAGGGGTACCATCAACTGATAACAATTTTCTATTTGTTTTCACTGTGGTTTATAGGATAAGAGGATAATAATTACTACCTTTGTCCAATCATAGGATGAATGCAGCCATCCTTTTTTTATGGATTTGACCATGAATATACACTGAGATAATTAGATCTGCCACATTGCAATGATATTAATAGATTTGTCACAAAAAATACTTCCACTTCATTATCTTTCAGTAATTTTGTGAACATATAATTGGAAAAGGTATTGTTCAGGGTGTGTGTGTGTGCTGGAGATTGTTTTCATGTCCAAAAGGATAGGTAACAGAGAAGGGAGGTAGTATAGATGCACAAGAGCTGGCTATTCTGCACTAAGGCTGACTTGTTTGGATTCAGGTTGAAGCAAAGGACCCGACAACTGGTGCACCTTACTTCTACAATCAAAGCACCGGAGTGAGTCAATGGGATCGCCCTGTCAATGTTTTGAATACCATGCAACATCAAGTTCCTCCATCCTTGCCAGAGAACTGGGAGGAGGCAATTGACAAATCAACAGGTAGATGAGCAAAAAGTTCTAATTTATCTCAGACTTGGCTCATATACATTAGCCCTGAACTTTCAAAGGTTCCAAAAAAATTTGAAATGTCCAGAACTCCAGATGCAAGACCAGAAACTGGCCAGACATTAAGCTATAAATAGGAAGCTGAGTTGGACAAGCCATCCTTTAGAACATTTAATAAAATTACATGAGACCTTTTCATGACCTTTGTTACGTTTTTTAATTGCTTGCTGATAGTGTGCGTGTGTGGCATTACCATCCTCAGTCTAATGCGTCATGTGCATTAATATTAGGCCACAAATACTATTATAACACGAAGACACAGACAACACAGTGGGAACCTCCTACTTCTGTGAACACCAGTGTTACACCTCCAGCTTCCACCAACACTGCAGTTGAGCCAGTCGCTCAAACTGCAGATATTTGGAACTCTCAAATGCAGAGATGTTTGGGCTGTGGCGGATGGGGAGTTGGTCTTGTCCAACCCTGGGGATACTGCAATCACTGCACAAGGTAATCTGTTTAATCTCACCCATTTAAGTTGATCAAATGTTTTATTGTGAAGCTTGATCTATATATTAATTTTATGCGTACTCACATAAAATGGGGTCGAAGGCATTGACCCTCGACTCTTGAACGATGTCCCTGACCTGGGTACATGGGTTCATAAAAGCAGGGTCATCTTCGACCCCGCCATGTAAAAACCTCTCCAAGTAGCGTACCACGTTTCGTGACTCCGTTGGCCCGGGAACTTTGTGATTATGATTTTATCTATCTCGAATCTCGTATAGATGACATGATATTGTTATATAAGTATACTTTGAATGGATCTCTGTGATCTAACCCACATTCATGATTTTGTCATTGACCTATGTGCTGCCAATATAGCACCAGATCTAATCTTGCATGTTTTGTCTTTATTATGTTATGATATATGGACCATTGGTAACACCAAATCCAAATGAACAAACATTGAGAAACATAGCTAAACTGTTTGCTGGTAAATACTCATGGCAGGGTTCAAAATCTTCCTTTTCAACAGTATCCATCTTATGCAAATAATACAATGCACGCCAGTGGTAACAATGCTCCCAAAACTCAGGGGAATGTTTCAGCTAAGGACAGGTATAATAATACAAGCATTTTGGTTTGCTCCATGGCTGTGCTTCTTCCATGTGCTCTATGCACTACTTTATGTCTGGCCTCAGCTACTTAAGCAGAAAAGTGTCATTTGTTTCCTTTACATGCAGATCAAGCTCAAAACCACCCTTAGGGAAAACAAACAGAAAAGATCACCGCAAAAGAAATCGCCCCGAGGACGATGAGCTTGACCCAATGGACCCGAGTTCTTACTCAGATGCTCCACGTGGTGGCTGGTACATGACATCTCTCTTCCTTCTCAATGATTATCCAGTTGACTTTTGCAAGCTTTCATGGTGTTTGCTGTTAATGTATTCTTATTTTAGCTTTGTGCAACCAAGAAAGAATGTATATGCATAATAAATTATGTGTGCCCCTGTATTAATGGTGTGGCACTCTTGTTTTTGCAGGGTTGTTGGTTTGAAGGGTGTTCAACCACGAGCAGCAGATACTACCGCAGCTGTATGTTCTTTGATTTGCAAGATTTATTTTGTATTCTCCTAGCCTGTAGTGGATATTAATAACATTAAGAACTTTGTATCCTGTCATGAAGTTGTGTTTTCTCTTTGTAATTCATATGGATATGTTATGGGGGGACTCAGGATTATGTGGAGGTCACTTGGCCACTAATAATGGGATTTCTATACAAACATGAAATGTAGTATTATTCATCCAGACACCAAATTCTGATTGTTTTATACTCGGAATAATGAGGCCTCATTTTTTATGTTTTAATTTCAGGGACCTTTGTTCCAACAAAGACCATATCCCTCACCGGGTGCTGTGTTGAGAAAAAATGCAGAGGTAGCAACCCATGGCAAGAAACGTGGTGGTATGGCTCCGATAACAAAAAGAGGAGATGGCAGCGACGGACTTGGGGAGGCAGATTAGTCTTTTGGTGAACTGAAATGTTGTGCAATCAGAATATCCTCGGTGGTTTTTGTCTCAGGAGCTGCTAAACTATCATTGCACTCCTGAAGAAAATCGGAAAAATGTTTGGCTGCCAGATTTGAAACGAGGAAACTCACTACAGTTCACGAGGTTTTGTAGCTAGATTAAAGCTATAGTGTACTCGCTGGGCCTAGAGGCTAGAGCGATGTGAGCTCACTGCAGCTTGCTGGGGACATATTTACTGAGCTCAGCGCGATTTGCTGATGGCATTCACTGTGCCCTTGGTGTAAATTTTATATTAACCTGTAATTTGTAATTGGAAGGAGAGTGATTTCAATGTAAAGAATTAACTTTTGTGTAGTGATGAATCATTCTAGCGATGCACGTAGCCAGTAAAAACATTGAGCATGTTGACGAAACATCTCGGTGGGCTAATTATCTCAATGAAACGCTACTACTCTTTGTTCCAAATCAAATAGTAGTCAGTTTTAGATTTGTTCTAAGTTACGCCTTATAAATTTATTAATCAAGTTTATAAAAAAATGTATAAACATTTATAACATCCGCTAGGTAAATGCCCGTGCGTTGCAACGGGAACACATAATACCACGATAACATATGTATGAGCGTGTGTTATACTGTTATCTAAAATAGATATTACAATCATAATGTTCCAATCAATATTACATAAGTCATCACGAAAGATAGATGGTTAAAATATAACTCTAAATTTGAATGCAAAACTAAAACATCAACTTCAATTGTCGCATCACTTCATGCCTACAATTGTCGCATCACAAGTTTGGATTAAAATCAATTTCAGCAGATGGTGACGGCGTGGTCTCGCGTGATTGGTGGCATGGGGTGATCGCGGAATTGATCACGATTGTTATGGGAATTGATTTTTACCTTCCTAATTTACTGCGGCTGTTATGGGGATTGAGCTGATCGCATAGAGCGATTGCGCGTTGCCTTCCTAATCTGATCACATGAAACGGCTTTGGTGTCGCACCTGTGGATGGAATAGTTATGAATGTTATTGCAGAGATAGAAAAAAAAAGAAAAGGAGCACATTTAGCTTTCAGTTGAGTAGTTGACCATGGTGTGATGAAAAATGCAATTATAAATATTATGGTCTCGATAACCAATCATGCAAAGGGAGACTATTCTAATTTCATAATCATCCTCAGAAAATTATCAACAACTAACAGGATGTTTATTAGAATGTCCAAATAAAAAACAAAACACTGATAGGTCCATGAACCATGGATCGGCGGTGTGGTGTGTGAGCGGTCCACCATGGACCGAGTCCATGCTGAAGGGTATGAGTCCTTGTATTTCCAATGTATTTCCTCTTTTATTCTTCTGAAGGAAAACGGCTCACCTGCGGCTTACCAAGGGCGGAGGAGCAAGGTCAGGACTGGCTGTTCTCCGGAGCGAGCTCATGCCTGGCAATGGCGGTGCGGCGCAAGAGTTCGCGGGCGTGATGCTTGTGCTGCCAAGCTGGTAGTGGTGGGCTGGTGGTTCACGCTAAGGAGCTCGGCCGCTTGCCATGATCACTGATCTATTGCAGGCTCTGCGGACTGCAGGTGGCGAGATCAGCGATATGTTGCAACGGACATCGGAGCGGCATCCTGATTCCGCGTGCCTGGCATGTGTCAGCGGCGGTGGAGACCTGAGCCCACGGTGGCGCAAAGCAGCAACATCAGTGGGGAGGGCGTGGCGCCACGGAGACTTGAGCGGGGCGATTCGGCGACGACTCTGCTGGTTGTTGTCGTCCGTGTGCTTCTGCTAGGATTAAGCCGTGGTCGTCTTCGTCCACGTGCTGCTGTTAGGATTTGGGTTTGGGTGTTCCATTTCGCATAGCTGGAAGGGAAGACAGATGGGGATATAGGGTCCTGGTGACGTACCTGGTGGGTGCTTGTCGCTAGCTCGGCGTCGTGACAGGGTATGCCAACGTCAGCGGGCAGGGTGGCGAGGCAACGGGCGCTCCAGCGATGTCGAGGCGATGGGGACAAGATGGGGCCGGTACGGGGCAGGACGTGGACAGGGCGCGATTGAACGATGGCGTTGATCGGCTGATGGCGAGTGCGATGGCAAAGGTGGTGCGAGGGCCAGGCACGAGGAGGTGAGGACGCGGTGCCGTGCGACTGCAGAGTGCCAGGGAGGTCGCGGTGCAGGTGACGGCGCGGTCTCACGTGATTGGCGGCATGGGGTGATCGTGGAATTAATCATGATTGTTACGGAAATTGATTTTTGCCTTCCTGATTTGCTGCGGCTGTTATGGGGATTAAGCTGATCGCATGGAGCGAGTGCGCGTTGCCTTTCTGATCTGATCGTATGGAACGGCTTTGGTGTCACACCTGTGGACGGAATAGTTATAAATGTTTTAGTTGTAAAGATAGCATATATTTTGACAGTGTATATATTTGATATTGTAGATATTAATATACTTTTCTATAAACTTGATTAAGGTTAGACAAGTTTGATTTGTGATAATGCTAACATGACTTACAATTTAGAACAGAGAGAGGTTCACCTCAGTCAATTGACTTGCAGTGAAGTAGCTTGGGGGCTTTGGAAGCAAGAAAGACATTATAAAATGCTTGACTATGGTTGTATTCTTCATAGCCGGAGTCTCAGTTAACATGATAACAACCTTTTGGGCATGCAAAAATCCCCAGCTTAAAGTGTTCGTCAATAGCAAGGCGTTTAGGATAACTTTTTTTTTTAATCTTGAGACATACCAGCTCAATATTTTAGAGACTCCGCATTTGCGTACGTACTGGTAAGCATTTGCGTCTGCACTTCTATTCACAAAGGGTGAAATGTAACAAAAAGAAACTAGTTTAATCGAAACCACTCCAAGAAAAGTAATACTTGTCACAAAAAAAAACTTGGGAGTAATAAAACAATATACTATCGTAGATTCCACTCTAAGAAAAACAATACATTATTGCCACCAATGAAAAAAAAAACTTGATGGAGTAATAAAACAATCTACTGTTGGAGAACCTGATGTCACAATATTTGAAAAATATGTTGCAATTAGCACAAAGGAAAAACTTGTTGGAACAATAAAACAATCTATTCTTGGAGAATATGATGTCTCAGCATTTGGAAAAAAAATGTAATGCAAATTTAGGATAAAGCCTACCTTCGTCAATCTCTTGATCTACCGTCTCGGTCTCAGTTCTTCGGATGTGCTTAAAAGAGTAGGTTGTGTATGCGTGCGTTTATGAGGGTGACTGGTGACCGGTGAGTGTGCGTACATGTAAGAGTGTCTGCGTCTATACTGCAATTAAAAAAAAGGTTAAAACCTACCTTTCACACAAGTTTTAAGACAGAGCTTATTGACTAATGTATCGTTTAGGTATATAATCCGTTGGCTATTTAACAAGAATAACATGGAGAAGAGGCCTATGTAATAACAAATGGGACCTTAGTCACCTAAAAATTATTTCATTTACACCGAATGAATGTCACACGTAGACATTCTAGTGACGCTATTATATTAGATCCGTTGTCTCCCATCGTTGAGTCCCCGCTGCCACTAGTCTTCCCTCTCTCAAAACCATCCTCTCTAAGCTCCGTCTCATTTCCCCCCTTTCACTAACTAAGCCCTAACCTGAGTAATTACATTAATATGCTAAAATTATCATATATTATAAAAAAATCAAATTAGTATACTAGTGCATTACTATTGACACCCAATTTACAATATTACTAAGAACTTTGTTTGCACAAATATAATGCCACGCACTATAGTATTTTTTATACCAAATCTAAGGATACTTTCCACTTAATTAATATAAAGTAAGTAAATATCATCAGTGAGAGTGTGAACAATAAAAATCAAACTGTTGAATCATTTTGAAACAGAGTTTAGTACACGGTTTAAATATCTCGTGCAGATTCTGATCGAGGAGTGAAAGACAAAAAGGTTTTTGTGCTAACTTCCCTTGCAAATCAGAACAGATTTCAGTAAAACGACGGGGGAAAAAAAAGGAAAAAAGAAGGCCCTCCCGTCCGTCGCTAATCCCGATCCCGATCTCCAAGCAAACCCACCTCCCCGCCTGTCCCCCACACGCCGATCCAGATCTCCTCCACCTCTCCACTCTCCCACTCCAACCGGACGCCTCCGCCGTCGCCGGCGGCGGTCGAGCCACACGCGCGCGCTGCCGAGGAACCCGGAGCGGGCGCCGGCAATGGAGCAGCTGCGGACGATCGGGCGGGAGCTGGCGATGGGGTCGCAGGGCGGGTGGGGGCAGTCCAAGGAGTTCCTCGACCTCGTCAAGTCCATCGGCGAGGCGCGCTCCAAGGCGGAGGAGGACCGCATCATCGCGCGCGAGCTCGAGCACCTCAAGCGCCGCCTCGCGGACCCCGACGTGCAACGCCGCAAGATGAAGGAGCTCCTCCTCCGCCTCGTCTACGCCGAGATGCTCGGCCACGATGCCTCCTTCGGCCACATCCATGCCGTCAAGATGACCCACGACGAGTCGCTCCCGCTCAAGCGAACCGGCTACCTCGCCGTCGCGCTCTTCCTCGACGAGCGCCACGACCTTGTCATCCTCGTGGTCAACACCATCCAGAAGGACCTCAGGTCGGACAACTACCTCGTCGTCTGCGCAGCGCTCACCGCCGCGTGCCGCCTCATCGGTGAGGAGGCCATCCCTGCCGTGCTGCCCCAGGTCGTAGAGCTGCTCGCGCACCCGAAGGAGGCTGTGAGGAAGAAGGCCGTCATGGCACTGCACCGGTTCTACCAGCGATCCCCCTCCTCCGTCTCCCACCTTGTCTCCAACTTCCGCAAGGTCCGTCACTTTTCCCCTTCATTTTTATGGTGCTAAGTCCATATTTTAATATAATAACTGACCGAAACCGATATTGAATAGCTCATAATGATCATGCATAAGCTACAATTTTGTCTCAAAGGCACCCTACTGCCAATTCTGTTCAAGATGAATGTTAGTATGCATTTAGAAATGTCCCTTTTCACATTC